AAAAAAACTTATAATAACTCTATTGTTTTTTAGACTTAAACGTTGATTAAAAGAGGTAAAAATTCCTAATTTTTTAGACTTAAACGTTGATTAACACCATAGATTGAGAGTTTATATTTAGTAAAATTCTTAATTGTAATAAAAAAATTAATTTTTGCTATATTTTAGAATATCTTTAAATTCATTATAAAAAAAAAAACTACAATGAAAAAAGCAAGTAAGCTATATATCGATTTGTTGTACTCCTCAAATCACATTTACAATTTGGCTACAAGAAAAGGAAACTCATTGATTAAAATATTATTTTGTCAGTAGTCTTAATGTACAAGAGACTTTAAGACTCTACTTGAATATTATAAAACTTTTATTGAACATTGTACAAATTTCTTGCGTATTATAAACTTTTATTGAATATTACATCTTATAATATAATATTTTCCAAATAAATATATCTCGTGCTTTGCACGGGTCACATATTATATATATCCCGTACATTTTTCTTTATTAATGTATATAATTATAAGCCTGAATAAATAGCCTTAAAATTGTGCACCCCGTGCATCGCACGGACTCTGTACTAGTTGATATGTAGTGGTACCAAATAGCGTGAGCAATATATGCTATCGCCTAAATTGCGTGGTAATGCGTCGCGTTTTGATCTTTATACTACGTAGCGTAAATAACGTGTGTTATATAAGTTATTTGGGAATAAATTCTTTTTTTATAGAAACATTACAAGTATTGCATATAATAAATGTTAATGTTTAATTATCATAGTATTTGAATGGAAAAAAATATGATTTTGGAAAAAAAATGATTTTGGAAAAGTATACTACTTCACTATTCCTTCCCTCCAATAAAATTTATCCTCTCCCTTTTCTTCTTTGACCGAACATACCCCTAATATCCATTACAATTTACATTACACCCTAATTCGAGAAATGAAAATCTCCAAATCTGCAGAAACTGGCGCGGGATGTTCACTACGATATGCTATAAATTGATAATTCACAGTCCCCATTTTTCACCCGGACTTCCCCGCCATTTTCAATTTGAAACATAAGAATAATGAGGATCGCCGAGATATCCTCCCCCGCAGACCATCGCCGGGTCTCCGCCTCCACCGTCGATTCCGACCATGCAACCGCACTCTCGAAAATCGAGTCCACAATCAAATCGCTCGAGCGCCACCTACCCGCTCATCCCTTGCCGGACTCATTCTCCGCAGATCTTCGACGGCACCTAGCTCAACTGAGCCAATTCGCTCCTTTCCCCAACTCCACCAAACTTCTCGCCTGGAAACTGAGCTACCGCCTTTGGAACACATGCGTCGACATCTCCAATGCCTCCGCAGCGAAAATCTCCGAGGAACATGGCAAGCTCCGGCAAGTCGCCGCTGATCTGCTATTTCTCACCGCTGATGTGGCTGGAATTCCTTCTCCGGCGTCCAAGGCCGCTCTGTTCTACTACAAAACTGGTTTGATCTGGTATGACCTGAAGAAACTGGATTTAGCTAACAATTGCTTCGAGAAAGCCACCGATCTAGTATCAAATAATGAGATTCACTCGATTTCTGATGACGATGAGAGAAAGTTTCTCTTAGATCTCAACCTCGCTCGGTCTAGAGCTGCCTGGGAAGTTTCGGATTTGAATCTGGCCATTGCACTGTTAAACAGGTCAAAAAGTGTAATGTTTGGAGTCTCGAGGAACTATAACACCTTAGCTAATCAGTACTTGGCGTTCGGAAAGGCTTTACTATCATCAAGCGAGGTTTCCTCTGTGAACGAGGCCTTGAAATTGATGAACGAAGCTCTGGAATTATGTGAGAAGGGCCTGAAGGTAGTGAAAAAGACTGACGAGACTTTGAACTTGAAGGAGCTAAGGTTGAAGACCTTGAGATTCATAGCAGCCGCGCACTTGCAGAGCGATGAATTTGAGAGCGTGCTGAAATGTGTGAAGGTTTTGAGGGAGGTTGGGAGTGGTGGGGACCACCACCCGAGCTTGAGTGTGCTTGCGATGAAAGCGTGGTTGGGGTTGGGAAGGTATGTGGAGGCGGAGAAGGAGTTGAGGGGGATGGTTTTGAGCAAAGGGATACCAGAAGGTGTTTGGGTGTCGGCTGTGGAGTCGTATTTCCTTGTGGCAGGTGCAGCAGGGGCAGAGACCGTCAAAGGAGTGTTTCTGGGTCTTTTCGAGCGTTGTCATGTTAGTGCTGGTGCAGCTATTAGGGTGGTCAATAGGGTGATTGGGAATGGGTTGAGCAATGATGAGGGGAAGGTCCGAGCCAATGTGGTTAGTGAATTGGTTTCGGATGAGAGGGTGATAGCGCTTTTCGATAGAGAAGGTGCCGCCAAGGAGAGGACCACTATGCATGCTCTTCTTTGGAACTGGTAAACTTGAGGCAACTTTTTATTCTTTGAGAACCGAGTCCATATGAAACCAGAGGTGCCATAAGGAGCTTACTAATTAACAAACTCAAATTGGTTGATGAAACAGAACTATATATGCTTTGTTACTTTTGAATTAGATGTTGGGTTGTCTTTACTAGTTGCTTTCGTGATATTGTGATTCAGATCTTTACTACATGCTTTTGTGATATCGTGATTTCTACTGATGCATAGAATAACCATTAGGATTTAAGTTGAAAGGGGAATGGTTATTGTGTGATTAAATCCTTTAGCTTGCAATTGAACTTATTATGCAACTTTGAGATCTGATATGAATATTGACTGTGAAACTGAAAATGCATCTTCCCATTTTCAGTTGATTGCAGCTGCTTAATTTATTTTGCTCTTTCTTGTTTTCAAATGAGCACTCTCTCTGGCATCACTTTGACCCTTTTCATCACATTATTATCCTTTTCATGGGAGGCTAGAGACCTGCCAGTCGTGGAATTATTGGTGTTGAACTTATCATTTTGTCTTTGATTTTGCAGCGCCACAGAATATTTTCGGGAAAAAGATTACCTGCTAAGTGCTGAGATGTTTGAAAAATCTATGTTATATGTACCTTATGGAGTAGAGAATAGAATCCTCAGATCCAAGGGATATCGAGTTCTTTGCCTCTGCTGCCTAGGCTTGTTGCAGCTCGACAGAGCTGAAGAATATATCAATGAGGCTGAAAAGGTATGCAGAAAATACACAAAAGGTCTAATTTCTCCTTAAAATCAACTCCAAGGATACTAATTGATCTTAATATTCTGATGCTATTTTATCTCCACAGTTGGAACCCAACATAGCCAGTGCCTTCCTCAAGGTACAATCAATCGTATTTGCCACCAAAGTCCTTACCCTTGACCTCAATATTCAAATGACCTTCTAAGTTAAATGTCCTGTTGACTTAATCATTTGGACGTCACATTTGCAGTTTAAGATCTTCTTGCAAAAGAAGGACTTTAATAATGCTATTGCTCAGATGAAAGCCATGCCAAGCTGTCTTGATTTCACCATGGATTTCATTTCCCTCTCGGCCCATGAAGCTCTCGCATGCTCTTCTCTTCCAGTTGCAGTTGCCTCTCTTTCCCAACTCTTGAATTTCTATTCTTCAGGGAAACCCATGCCAACTAGTGAGGCTGTAATATTCCGCACATTAGTCTCCATTCTGAGCCAAGACCCGGCCAACGACGCCGATGTTCTCGAACACATGAAACGAGCTCACACGCGACAAGCCGAGGTTGGAACCGACCTCTTTTTCGGGAAATATGAGGTTGGGAGAAGGGAAAAGAATTGGTTCGCAGGGAATTCTTGGAATTTCGGAGTAAGATCTGGGCAGGCAAAAAACTATGCATTATCCGCAGAGTTCTTCAAATTAGCATCGGACTTTTATGGAGTTTTAGGCGACAACGGGGAAACCGAGGCAACCGAGACAATGATCTGCAAATCAATCATACTCTCTGTATCTTCCCTTATTGCTGCTGAGAAGCACGAGAATGGTACATTGCTGGAACCCGAAGTTACACAAGCCATGGAGCTGTTAGGGAGAGCAGGAAAGGTAACGTGAACATTTTTAATTCTTTTTCCTCGTTAACAATTTAAAATTCGCATTTAAGAACAATTCCCATGATTCAGATTCTGTTTTCGACCGCCGGAAAAATTGACGAACAGGCCGAGGCCGTCGAGCCTAACTTCCACTTCATATACATGTGCACAGCCTTCGACCTCTACTCCAGGCTAAGTGACACGGCCGCCCAACAGCTCCAACTGGCGAAAAGATTTGCCGCCTCGAAATCTTGCGGGCCGAGACATTTGCTTCAGATCGGGCTAGATGCCTCGCGGGGCCCACGGCCGAACCATGAAGTAGCTTCCTTTGCGCTGAATGCCTGCCTCTCATCCTTTCTTGCTTCCCCTTCTCCGGATTACCAAATGGTGGCTCTTGCACTCAGGAAGTTGATTCTTACAGTAACCGCGCAAAAGGGGGGCCCGGAAGATGACTCGATTATTGAAATGTACAGGCACGCGTACCGAATCATGGTCGGGCTCAAGGAGGGAGAGTACCCGATTGAGGAGGCCAAGTGGTTAGCCACATCAGCGTGGAATCGCGCTGCAGTCCCCGTGAAGATGGGAAAAATCGAGACTGCGAAGAAGTGGATGAGCATTGGTTTGGAGTTGACTGTAAAAGTCCCGGGGATGAATACGTACAGGTCGTGCATGGAGGACTATGTGGCGGGGTTCGAGAGGAAAGTCAGCAGCAGGGGCAGTGGTGAAAGCAGGACTTTGGCTGTGTCTTCTTGATGGTGAACTGAAGAAGAAGGTAAGGTGATTAATTTTACATATCTCAAAGTCCTTTTTTTGTGTGTGTCTGTGTGTGAAAACTTGATTAGGCTCTAATTCCTCAGAGGAAAATATGGTTTTATTTTCTCAGGTCTGGAGTATCCGAACGTGAGCTGGTTGCAGAGAAGGAAATCGTGAAGTAGGAAGTATAAAAATGTAGATGTATTGTTGAGGTATCATAATTCATAGGTAAATACGAATGTGAAATGTTGACCCTTTTTTGCTCTGCGTTTGCTTTTCTTCACGTTGATAAGGAATTGTTTGGACTATTGGAGATTATCGGAATGTTAAATTCTTTCTTTCTTTTTTTTTTTTTCTTTCAAAGTACAACCATATTAATAACTGAAAAAACTTAAAGAGACTACAAATNAATAAACATAGTAGAATAAAACCTTTCATAAACCTAGCAGCTAAACCCCACGACCACCAGAACAGACAATTGAACCATACCCACAACACATAACGCCAACCAAGCAACAAAAAATATGAAAACTGCGGCTACTCAACCGCATAGATAGATTTTCAATCTAGATTGGGCTCCGATGGACTTCAACACAGGGAGAGGAAATGGAGCCGCCAAGAAAACACCGGATGGCCCGAGACAAGGATCTGAGAAGGCAACACCCGCGGCAACCCCTATCTGAGCGGCCCGGCCCGACTGGCGGGAACCAAGCCGCCATAGCAGGGCTCAACACAACAGGGTAAGGCCAACCAAGGAGATGAACAGGTCGCGCACATCAAGGCCTCTGACGAATCGACTGACTCTGGCGATTGTTGCTGGAAGCGGCGGCCGGCGACCCCTCCAGAGCCGCGGGGAAGATCATAGGTGAAACTATTGCCGACCACTTCACCCGTCGGGCTCCAAGAGAGGTAAGAAAGGGGCACCAACCGCGACTCGGCCAAAGCCAGCCCGGTGGCCATCGAGGACGCCTCAGTGGGAAAGGAGGGGCGACGGATCTATGTTTTACTCTTTTTTTTAGAGAGAAAAGAGGGGCGTGCGTGGTTGGAGATGCAATTGGCAATTGCGCTGTTATTTTGATCTAACGGAGAAAAATTAACGGAGAAAAATTTGTGCATGTGTTGGTTCATCGGATTGTTCAATTTAAATTTGAAAATTTTGGCCTAAATGGATGGGAAGGTAGTTTTTTAATTTATTACATAAATGAAAAAATAATGATTTAATTGTAAAAATATAAAAACTCAAGCTAAGAAAAACAATTTTGCCGAAAACAAACCAAAGTGGCTAAAAAACAAATGAGAGAGAAATGTGAAAGAAAGAAGAATGACCGTTTGGTATGGCGCCATCTTATCATCTACCTTATATTATCCGTATTAAAAGATAAACAATCTCTCTCTCTCTCTCTCTGCTATTTCATGGAGTCTTTTTCCAGCTGCCTCTCAGTTTCTCCACCATCACTAAATCCTCCAAATATCCCCAAATCACATCTTCTCCTCCCAAATTACAACCCAAAAATCATCTCTTTCCGTGGTTCCTCCCCCACCAATGAAACCCAAACCCTAACTCACAAATCCATCAATATTTCCAACACCACCATTTGCCCCAATTATTTCCAAAATAATCTCTCTTTTCTCAAACCCCACCAACTGTTTCTCAAGCCTCAATTCTCATTTCCCCTTTTCGGACTTTTTTCCCCATTTTCTTGCCTCGCTTCTGAATCCGCTGTTCTTCCCGATGAAGGAGTCTCCAACAAAATTAACCTGGAGTCCGTTGTGGTTGCCGTTGATAACTTTTTCAATCGATACCCCTTTTTCGTGGCCACGGTGACGTTCGTGTGGCTGGTTGTGATCCCTCTGACGGAGGAGTATCTGCAGAAGTACAAGTTCATCTCCGCCATTAATGCGTTTAAAAAGCTGCAGGAGGACCCGTCTTGTCAGTTGCTGGATATAAGGGACGTTAAGAGCCTCGCAGTTTTGGGCTCGCCCAATTTGAAAATCCTGCGCAAGAGTGTGGCCCAGGTCCAGTTTCGGGAGGGTGATGAAGATGGCTTTGTGAAGAGGGTATTGAAGATTTTTGAGGAGCCATCTGATACTACTGTTTGTATCTTGGACAAGTAAGCCTTTTCAATTAGTGCCTCTGTTTTTTCTTCTTTCGTTGCAGTTGTTAGTTTGTTGTTTCAATTTTATGATTTTTAGAATGTGGAGTGAAGGATCTGATGGAGTTTTTTATTCTACATATTATCTAACTGGCTATTTTTGGAAGATTTTTCAAAAAAAATATTTAATCATCAAGAAGTGAGTGAAGATTTGTGAACGTTGTGCTTAATGTATTTTGATGTGATTTGAATTGTAAGGAACTTAGTAGAATACTTGTCTGGTGAACCGTCTTTGATGCTATATTTGTTAAATTGATGAATTAGTACTTTGTATGTTACTCTCTGCATTTTTCCGTTAACAAATTTTAAGATACGAAACACTTGAACCAACTTTATGTTGACCCCTTTCACGCGTAAGGTAGTTTTGATGGTAACTCTTTCAAAGCGGCCGAGCTATTGGTGAAAAATGGCTTTAAAGAGGCTTATGCAATTCGGGGAGGGATCCGAGGACGAAAAGGATGGCAGGTGTGCTGATTATTTTTGTTTTCTCCCATAAGTTGTTAAGTTTCTTGTTTAATTAATTTTGTATTGCACATTACATAGCTCCTTTTAAGCTTCTCTTTGGCTACTCCTTTTAAGCTTCTCTTTGGCTAAGTTTCTGATAATCTATGTGCTCGAGGAAAAACAAAGTTCGCAATATTTTTATGTCTGGCAATTTTTGTTTTGTCTCTACAAAATCGGTTTTACTTATGAACATTGGAGATTGCAGGATATACAAGAGACCCTCCTACCTCCATCTGTACATATCTACCCGACAAAGAGGTCTAAGAAGCAAAAGAAACTGGATACAAATGGAGGGATAACTCAACAGGATGGAAATAATGATGCATTTTCCGTAAATAAAGTTCCCAATGCTGAAAACACTGTTAATGAAATTGAAAGTGAAGATATTAGTTTGAGTAGTCCTGTCCAATCTAATCTAGGACAAAGGCCACTGTCACCATACCCAAATGTAAGAATTTGCTCCCTCTAGCCACCAAAAGCATTAATGTTGTATGCGAATTGAACCTTACCAATCGAAAAACTACTTTACCGAGTTTTTTTGCTCTCTTTTTTATTTATTTATTATTTTTTTTTATGCAGTACCCAGATTTCAGGCCTCCGTCTTCTCCAACTCCATCAAAGCCAAAATGATATCAGCTTAGCTTGTACCAGAGTTGTTGCAGTTTCGTCTTCTTCATTCTTTTGACGGGATATTTGAAATAGGTTCCTCCGTCTTCTCTATGTACTTGACTCCCTTACTACGTGAAGTAGGGTGGACAGGTCTTTGATGTTTTAGTTACATTTTATGGAATTGAAGGAAATATTTTGTTGTACATTGGAAGGGTATGATAGTTTTGAAGATGGTTTCATGTGTGAATCTTGTTTATATTTTCTCTTTAAATACTATGCTGAAATTCCGTTCTATATCTTGAGTTCGGTCTTTGGAAAAATGTGGCTAGACTAAAGAACTTTTTATAGTAACCACCATAAAGGTTTGATGTGGGATATATAAGAGGAGCATTTTTGGATTTGCAGTGTAAATGTAACAGGTTTGAATATGTGCCGTTAAACTTATAGATGATAATAGCTCTTCATTAACTCGTGGTCACATGAAAAATGTACTTGGTGATGGCCATATATTGAAACTAACCCTTCATGCTATTGAAATGAAGGGATTGTCATTTAGAATCTCATTGTTTTTCCATTTCACCAACTTTCTTGTGTTTTGTTTAATACCTATAAGGTCTCTTTCCCCCAACTGTTTGAGGACTATTAGTTTTAGTCAAAATCTCAAGTTTTGATCTTTGAAACTTAAAAAAGTTTTAATCTCTTCTGACTGATGAGGCACAGCTGACATGTCATTGTGAGAACATGAAATAGCTTACTGACAGTTTCTCTTGACTTTGACAATCTTTTGGATTACATGCAGAAACTAGGGATTAAAGCAAAACTAATAAGAAAATCTGAGTTAACACTTAACACCTCATATCTTATCCCAAAGGAAACAATAATTTTGATCTTTGATTACTGGACAAGCAAAATAAAAGTGGGCAAGTGAGAAAAGTTCACCAAAGAAGTAAAGAATATAAGAAAGGAAAAAAGAAGAAAGAAAAAAAGAACCGTTCAAATTGGAATTAATGTGACAAATGAGAACCAGATAAATCCTATCTCTGATACATTCCTATTGTGTGGCATTATTTGAACCCACTCAAATTCTAGACCAACTGTCATAACTGTCACTCTCCCTGGAAAAAAAGCCATTCTCATTCAACAAATTTCCATGGCAATGATCTGCCTTTCATCTGCTTCACTTTCACTACCCAAACAATACCGTCCTTTCGTATCAACTCCTCCAATCCCACATAGAAATAGAAGCAACCTACTCATCTCTCGATCGAGCAATGATTCAAATGAGGTCTGGTATAGTTTTATATAGTATATACATACACAATATTCTTGCAATAACATTGTTTGTTTTAATATTGGAAAAAATTGTTAATGTCTCAGGATTACTTGTTGGATGCTCCGGAATCAATTGGAGACGGGTTTTCGTTCAGTGGAGGTTCGAAACAGAAAATCATTATTCGTCCCACAAAAAATTCGAAGTGTTTATTTGTTGTAGTGATTTTTTTTTCTGATTGTGACACTTGACAGGGAAATATTCGGATCAGCCGAGCCCGGCTGATGAATGGTTCAAGCAAGGAAAGATTGTAAGTTCCATTTTCTTAGTTTTCTTTTTTTAAGTTCCATTTTCTTTTTTTTTTTATTTTTTCTTTTTTTCTTAAGGTGAAAGCACACCCAGTTGGTGGAACTGGTGAGAAGGCAAAGGATCCGATTTTCGGACTCGCTATGGCTGGCTCGTCACAGGCATCAAGTGATCTGTTCAGGTAATATTTGATTTTTAGAGATTTGTGTGAAAATCATAAACTTAAAAAACCAGAGTTATATATCATGCAGATATTGAGAAAGCATTATATGCAGGGGTTACACCAATTGAAAAAAAACGTGCTCGTTTTGTGCAATAGATGGTTTTGCGTCGAAAGTGGGAGACTCGGAGACCCAACTGTTCTTCTAATTCACGGCTTCCCATCACAGGTTAGTACTTTATATGGCAACTTAATGCAATTTCTGCATTTATTATTGTACTGAATATTGTTTGTGTTTATGCTCCAGGCATATTCATTTCGCAAAGTTCTACCCATTCTGTCTAAGAACAACAATAATCATGCAATTGCTTTTGATTGGCTGGGTAAGCTTAAATTAAATTACCTACTTTTGGTAGCTTCAAATGTGGTTTGTCTTTCATTACTCAATTCCGCGTACAATTTTTAAGTAATTCTATGTTGTCCGGTGCAGGATTTGGATTTTCGGATAAACCACAACCCAAGTACGGGTTTGACTACACTCTTAAAGGTATGAATCCATTTTTATGAGCTTTCCAAGATTAAAACAATGAAGTATCATAATGCAAGCAGATTATTAATTGCTGAAAAATGTATCATTGCCTTCAGAATTTGTCGAGTCCTTGGCATCCATCGTCAATGGAATCTCCAAAGATAAAGTTTCTTTTGTTGTGCAGGTAGATTTTTATTTTGTAATTTGTATTCTAGTTAATGTAATAATAGTCCTTTTGTTGATAAATGATTGTGAACAAAATAGTTCCTTTCATATTCTATATTAGGGGTACTTTTCACCTGTTGTGGTCAAGTATGCTAAAGACCATCAAGAAAAGATCGATAACCTCATCTTGCTAAATCCTCCGGTAATGTTAACCTCACTTACTCAGCTTTCTACTTCACATCATTTTAATACCTCTCTTTTTATTTTCTTTTTTTATTTTTTTATTTTTCTTCTTTTGTGAAGCTGACAGCCAAACACGCCAACTTGCCGTCAACTCTTGCACAACTCAGCAACTTTTTGCTTGGGGAAATATTTTGTCAGGTGGAAAAAATATGCATCTGAATTAAGATATCATTTGCAGTTATTGACTTTTGAAGCTAAAATTAAGATACATGTTATTCTTATCCGAAAATGTGCATGTGAATTAGGACCCTCTAAGGGCGAGTGATAAAACATTGACAAGTTGTGGTCCTTACAAAATGAAGGAAGATGTTGCAATGGTTTACAGACGACCATATCTCACTTCTGGCTCTTCCGGATTTGCCCTCAATGCCATTAGTCGATCTATGAAAAAGGAACTAAAGGTCATTCTTTTCTTTTCTTCCGAGTCATTCTACAATTTTTTTCGATGATTAATTGAACTAGTTGATATTTAACTACTGCTAACATATAATTTGATTTGGCTTTTAACCATAGGCATATGCTGAGGAGATGAGAAGAATACTTATGGACGAGAGTTGGAAAGTCCCAACTACGGTTTGTTGGGGTCAAAGGGACCGTTGGTTAAGTTTCGAAGGCGTTGAGGACTTTTGCAAAGAATCCAAGCATCAACTCATCACTCTTCCAATGGTAAACAACAACATCATAAATCTTGAAAACTGAATTATTTAGTTATGTGCAGCTAAAAATGTACTTATGGTCTTGTAAGAATATTGGTGTTATCTTTTCTTTTCTTTGTTTTTTTTAAGGCAGGGCATCATGTGCAGGAGGATTGTGGAGAGGAAGTTGGGAATCTTATTGCTGGAATCTTGAGCAAAAGAACACGTTGATTATTAGTATATTTAAATTATGAGATAATTTTCTGTATGTATAATTTAAACTTGTATGATATATAATAGTCCTCGATTATATTTGTCCTCCTAAATTACCAGTTTCAAGTGCACTACATGGAAACAGGAAAACACAAAGGTCTCCTGCAGACAGAAGCCATTTAGCCTAAAAAATGATCAGAGCCACTTTTTTTT